TTTTTTTTTTAATTCTTGATTTTTCTAGGGATTATTTCACATTTCAACTGCTTTTGTTTTCTTCTGCTATCATTGAGGGTTCAAGAGAAAGTAAATCTTCAGGTAAAACGCCTGATCTGTGATAGTGCTTGGCATCGGATTGGCTGGGAAGATGAACCCACTGTTTGGATGCTTGTCTGAAAGTGACTGTGGTGATTTAGACTTGTGCATGGAGTCCTGGCTGCCTCTGACACTTGGCCTTTGTTTTGTTTTGGCTTTTGGAGACTTGGCTGTCTGCTTTTCTTCATGTTGTCTTGATCCACAATAACTCTATGGGTATGTGCTTGGACCTGCTAAATCTTTTAATTTTGCATAGTTGGCTGCTTGAATTGTAAGTAATCTCTTTGGACAATGCAAACTTTAAAGAGCTTGAGAAGCTGTAAGTGAAATATCAATTTACAGAAGTTTATAATTAGCTCATAATTGTGTTTGTTAGCTACTGTCTATTCTGAGGTTTGATAATTTACCTCTGCTAATATTGAAAATTCAAGAGCTGATTCCAGTTGGTATGTGGCCGCTGTAGATAGCACAGATGATACTGTTTCTTTTTGGACAGAACATGTTGTTGGCCAAGATTGCTTAAAGCTGGTCAAGCAGTGGAGGGTGAGCTGATTTCTACTCTCAACTTTGTAACATATTATTAACTCCTATCCATCAGCTGTGACCAGTCTGAAGACTTTGCCCAAGGGCTGGAGAGAGACGGTTCAGTAAGACTGCACTGCTCTTACAGAAGACGGCAGTTAATGTCTAGCACCCATACCGGGCAGTTCACACTGCCTGTGGCTACAGGCAAGTCACAAGGCCCAGCACCTCTGCCTGAGGGCCCTAGCATCCACAGAGTTTTAAAGAACTAAAGTTATAAAAAAAAAATACTTTCTCTAATATATTCTCTAGCTTGAGAGTTTCACACACTTAAGGTTGTCTAAAACTGTTCATTTGCATCAGTATTTACGCTATTTTAATTTTAAAAAGTTTTAAAATGGAGTGAAATTACAAATAGCAAAATTCATGAAGTAAGCAAAATGCTACTTAATTAATCAACCTAAATCCAAGTTGCGGTCCCAAAACACAACTAATTTAAGTGCTTCTGATAAGTTACTTAACTTCCTCAAGCCTTTTTCCTCACATGTAAATGTAGATAAGTTGTTATTGTGTAAGACTAACATAAAATACAAGTGTGTGCAAAAGAAAGTAATAAAGTACCTGTTTGTGTTGCCTTTGTGGATGAAGCCACAGTGTATACAGTGTTAGGCGCAGTTACCTGCATGTTACTGTTCTAGAGACCATAGTCATGGGTATATATATATATATGTATGTGTGTGTGTGTGTGTGTAATATATATATATATATATATATATTACACACACACACATGTCAGAAGTATTTCAGCAGTTCCAGTCAACATGAGTTTCTTTGAACACTGGAATATCAAGGGCAGGAGAAAAAGAAATAGGGTGGTAACTGACTTTTATTTTTTTAAAAAAGTCCTTAAAATACTTCCTAATAACAAAGCAAAGTTCATGTAGTATTTTTTTAACTTAAAAAAATATTTTATATAAGTCTTTAAAATCTTATATTTTGAGTATATTCCCTATGTTAATATTGAAGACAAGTAGTAGGATGTTTCAAAAGTTGACTCACTTAGTCAAACTACTAGCAAAATGGAAATCTGTATTAACTTTTCAATTTTCTACTTTTTAATTTAGTTTTATGGGGTTCTTGTTTGTTTTTTGAGAGGACCACCCTATGTAGCCTAGGCTGTCCTTACTGTGTAACCAGGTTGGCCTTGAACTCACAGAGGGATACTCCTGCCTCTGCCTCCCAAATGCTGAGAATAGAGGTGTGTGCCACATGCCTAGCGCATAAATTTTTACATTTTTTATGGGTGGTCTTTCCACCCCGACCTATTTCTCACTGTGTACCCTAGCTTCCTTGAATAGCTTTCCCCTGTTTCAGTCTTCTGGGTATGGTTATAGGGCTATGCCACTATGCTCAGCTCAACTAGAAATCTCATGCACTTTGTAATCTTCATCTGCTGTTTCTGCCCCCCCCCCCCCCTTTCTGAGGCAACTGTATATGGTAGGATGCCGAGAAACTCAGGTACCTGTTTCTGTGTTGAGCTAGAATGCATCCCCAAAGTGATTCTGGCATCCACCTGTTGTTAAAAGTCATTGTTTTAACTTTACCCCTTTTCCATATCAGTATGTCAGAATTAATACATAGATAATAAGGCACCAGAGAGGTAGGGTGATATATGGTATACCAATTTTACTCCAACTACTCCCTAATGAACACTTTGAAAAAACACAGTTGAGTTTTCACATTACATAATGATTTTTTTTTTTTAACTGTAAAAACATTTTCAGGTAGATCGTATTGGAAAGACTTTAAATTTTGAAAAACTGAGTATTTTTATTTGAAAGTTTATTTTAAGAACAAACTGCATTCTAACTTGGTTGCTTCCCAGATAGCATTTGAGCATGGAGTACTTCTAATTGTCTGATCAGATAGGGTTTTACAGGAAGCTGTTACCAGCAGAACTTGAGCTCTGGTTTAAGCTGCTGTTTGGGTTGTTGGTGTGTGAGAGCTTGCCTTGATGCTGAAAATACAGGTGTCGTTGTCCTGGAGCTGAAAGGAATTAAAAATCAAAGTAACTGCTTTTAACACAACATTCTGAATTGAGGTAGTACATCCAAAGTATCTTAGGCTCATACTTGCTGTGTCAAGTTTAAAGCAGCATTATGTAGAATTCTTAAAATACAATGTTACAGATTGGATTTGCCTTTGGTGTATGAATTTTATGGGTAGGATAAAATTTAGAAATACTACATTCAATACAAATTTTAACTAAATATTTTAGTTTTAATGATTATTTAAATTGTCATTGCAAAGTCTAAAAAGACTTTTGTAAAAAGAAATGAGACCTGACTACAGGTCAACATAGATGTGTTAGAAGTCATGTATTTTTCTTACAACAATATATCCAGAGTGTGTTAAAGTTCTTCATACTTGTAGTTCATGTTGAATCTGTGATATGGACCTTATGAGAAAATGGTAATGGCATTTGTATTCAAATGCTCATTTCATTTATCTTTTTATTTGCAATGAGTGAGATTTGAGAGTTGATGTCTACTGAAACCTGAGGCATTATCAGTCAGATAAAAGAAACCAATGTGTTTTAAGATTGGTATGTGCTGCAGTTTTGTTTGCTTTTGCTTCTTTTGAGACAGAGTCTCTCTTTATGACCCAGGGCAACCTTGAGCGTGGTCCTCCTACCTTAAGCTTTCCCTGTGCTGGGATTATGAGTCATAACTAATGGAGGTGGGTTTTTTTTGTTTTTTTTTTTCCCCCCTCACAGCCGTGTATGGGCTGCAAAAAGTAGAGCTTCATTCTTGAAGTTATTAGAAAACTCATTCATAGCTTTATTAGGTTTTATGGTGTGGTTTTTTTTGTTTGTTTGTTTGTTTTGGGTTTTTTTTTTGCGGGTTACATGGCGGGAATATACTGTATGTTTTAGAATTACAAACTTTTACAAAGCGTTTTTTTCCTCTGTTTGATAGTGCTGGGATGAAACCCATTATCTTTTGCTCTCTCTTTGCTATCTGTCTATTTAGTGCTTTAACTGTTAACTGGTCCTTAAGTGATAGGCTTCAGTGGAGTTAAAGAAGAGGGGAGGAGGGAGATAGAAGAGGACTCTAACAGAAAAAGCAAAGGCTTGTATCTAGTAATGACAATGACAGCAGCGCTCCAGGGTCCACAGAAAACAGTAAAGTATGGGAACTTGAGGGAAAGGGTGTAACACTTTGCTCTTATCTCTGTCTTAGTTGCTGATTGTGATACATTGGGGTATGAGTGCTGATAGCTTTTTATTCATGGAAGTTGTTCATTACCAGGCTTCTCTGTGAACCAAGAATAGGCTGTTTTCTCTCAATCTGTTGTCTCTGAATGAATCATTGAGAGGAGCCACACTATTCTCGGAAAGTGTTTTATTCATACTCTGTAGTAATAGCATGCTTTAGTTTTCTGAGCTAACACACTAATTCAGGCAGGATCTCTTTAAACATTAATATAGAACACTAGGCAGGGTGTAGTGGTGTGTACCTTTGTTTGCTGCACTCAGGGCAGAAGCAGAGGCAGATGAGGATCTCTGTAAATTTGAGGCCAGTCTTTTGTACATAGTGAATCTGGGCCACCCAGGACTGCATAATAAGACCCTGTTTCAAAATAAATTAAAATAACATTAAAACCATTTAAATTACAATTTTAGAATTTTTTAAAGGAATATCTGCTTTGTATAAGGGGTTTTCCCTTGTGTTTTCAGACATCACAGAGTGTTTATAGTACTTTCAGTGCTGTCTGGAAGCCTTAAATCACTGTCTGGGGTTGGTATGGCATTGCTGATGGGAAAAGTTATGAAGAATGTCTCCCTGTACCAGGTCTTCAAAACTCCGAACTTTCTGAAGTCACTTTGAGAATGTAAACAAGAGCATTGATACCCTTCTGCATCTTTTTTTAGATAAGCAGCTTTTTACCCTGTTGGGTGATTTTTTTGTTTGTTTCCTTTAGTTAAAAAAAAAAACTTAAAATGGTGTTTTATATTCGTGTCCTTTCAACCACACAATTAAACTGTCTTGGACACTAAATTAATATTGATACACGGGAAAGAATATGAGTTACAAATTACAAATAAGTTAAGTTGTTAGCTTATTGTGGATCAGGATCTCGTGCAAGCTGAGAACCATGGTAGTGTGACCTTGCTTACTCTCATGCCTCAGTGAAATGGGAATGCCAGACACTGTCTAGAAGCAGGTGTGAGGGGCAGTTCACTCCTTGTGCATAGTACTTCAAGTATCTGTGCTGAGTTTTCTGTAATTGTATAAGAAGGCTAAGTCATTGGTTGGTGGTTTTTGTGTTTTAGTTTGGTGGCTAGTTTCACTGTACTGAATTGTTTTTCTTCACAGAGGATGTGCTGAGTAAAGACGCAGGTGAATGTGCAATATGCCTTGAAGAACTGCAGCAGGGAGACACCATAGCACGGCTACCTTGCCTGTGTATATATCATAAAGGGTAAGTTTAGTGTTACTTTAAGTTGATATTAAAGCAAAGTGATTATTCTTTTAGTCAAACATTGCAGTTAGGGCTTAAAAGGCTTCTTCTTCATTCAAACTCTTCTGCTCAACTTAGGATCTTAATAACACCCCATCTCCCTTTCTCCCACTTGCTCAGAGAAAATGTGAACAGGCATCTGTTGTATCTTGAAGGCTGCCATTTTTAAAGCGCTCAGTGCTGTGCAGGTGTTTTCAGCTTGGCCAGTAGGTGTCTGTTTAAGCATAGCAACCACTTCACTTTACAGCTGACAAAGAAGACAGTAGGACTGTTCCCAGGCATTTATTTCTAGCAGATGGCAAGCCGAGATTCCAACAGATTGGGAATTCGAGCAGATTGACCTCAAAGCCCACTTGTTTTTTTTTTTTTTTTTTGTGCATTCTTTTTGCTTTTAGAATAACACAGGACCATTTTTAGTTTAAAAAACAAAGCTAGGCATGGTAGGAAACTGTTGGTTTCTGAATTCTAGGCTGGCCTGGTCTACATAGTGAGTTCCAGGCCTGGTAGAGAGACCCTGTTGCCAAATAAAACAAAACAAAACACTGTTGAAGGTAAACACAAAAAGAATAGGGATTGGAGAGTTGGCTCAGGAGTTAAAAGCACATACTGGCCAGTTTAATTCCCAGCACCCATGTCAAGCAGCTCACAACTACCTTCAACTCTAGCTTTGGGGGAGGGTATAGGCAGAGGGTTCCAACACCTCTGGCCTCAGAGGGCACTGGCACTTGCATGCACATACCTACATATATACACACAATTAAAAGAAATAACAAAGTATATTTTAATTTTAAAAAAGAATAGAAAGTTACAGCTTTTGAACAAAGGAAAGGAATAAGGTGGAATTTTACTTAATGGGAGCTGTAGGAACAGCATGGAGAAAGCACAGTAAACAATGCAAAATGAGGACACAAAAATAAATCCAAACATATCAGTAATTGTATCTATAAGAATAAATCGAAAGTAGGTGAAATGTTGGAATACGATGTTGTTAAGCAACATGCTTTAAAGGTAGACAAATACAGAATTAAAAGGATATTAACTAAACTAACAGTGTATACCAATGTCACACAAATAGACATCACAGGTAGCATTACTTAGAACAGAGTTAGTATGTAAAGGTAAATACAGAAAACTTCTTGATTATCTGTTTATCTTGATATAAACTATTTTGATTATTTAAAAAATTTCCTGACTAAAATAGTAAATAAGTCAAGAAAAGAAAATTGAACAGTTTTAGCTTGCCAAGTTTTGACTTTATTTTCACAGACAGAATCTTAACTATATTGCCCAGCATAGCTTCAAATTTTCCTTGTAGTTTAGGCTTCCCTCATACCTGTGTCCTCCCTCAGCCTCCTGAGAGCAAGTGACTTGGGGGGTGTGTCGCTGTGCCTGGCTTCCATTTTTCCACGTCTGTTTTCATTTTTTGGTACTGGAGATAGAACTTGGGATTCTGCATGTCTGAGCCTTTCTTACCATGGAGCTGAATCCCCAACCCTGGGTTCAGTGTAATGAGTACATATGTACGTATATGTACCTAATGGTTATAGAAACATAAGGTATCTAAGATTAATATGCATGTAAAGCATGGTGGGTATGAAAAAAAAGCAGTATTATAAAATAAGATTCATACCCAAATTAATCTATATAGTTAATGCTATCCCAATCAAATCTGGACATAATATTTCCAAATATATATATGGACTAATGAGAAGGGCTAAAGAGCAGCAACCACACTCTTGAAGAAGAATCCTGCTGGCACATGTCCTAAGAGATGCAGAAATGAAACAAGTTAGGACAGAACTGAGTCCATAAACATGTGAGCCTGCGAGGGAAGACCACAGCATGGGACCTAAGGACACAGAGGCTGCAATTAGGACTCTTAATCCTTCCACTAATTAATTCTTTATGTGATCTTAGGCTGGTTTTGATTTTCTTATCTTTGAATGCTAAAGGACAATAGTACAAGCTTCACTTAGTTGTGAGGATTTAAATGTGTAAATATTTGGAAAATGTTGGCATAAGAAATTTAAAAAAAAATGAAAAAAAAGTTTGACTAGAGGTGGTGTAGACAGAGTAAGCTGTTGGTAAATGGTGCTGGTATTGATTACTTACTGATACAGAAAGACAGTTGAGTCCCTTCTTTAAGTTTGAAAGAAAAATTCTAGGCTGTCTCTGCAATACTAGTGAAATTCAAAATCTAAGAAAGTAAGAAAAAATAAGGAATTGTTTTTGACCTTTTGGTAAGGAACTTTATTTCTTTTTGCTTAAGATATATGCCTCTTCTCTCTGTGTCCCCAAAATAAGCGTGAGGATGCTCAGAGCTAGCTCAGCAGCTAAGAGTGCTTTTCTGCTCTTGTGGAGAGGACCTGGGCTTTTTTTCAGCACTCAGATGGTGTCTCACAGCCTCCTGTAACTCCAGTTGCAGAGGCTGTGACATCTCCTGACATCCAAGAGCTCATGTGCACACACATGGTACACCTACATACATACACTCACACAGATACAGTTAGAAGACTGATAAAATTGACTGTTAAAAAATCATAGCATATTTACATGTGAGGCAGAAAATAGACTTTGTAGTGGAAATGGCTCTTAACCTGACGACAAAAGTTTTATGTTTGAAATAACACATTGTCCTTTGGTCAGTTGCTGTAGCAGATGACTTTTGTAGGCTGTAGCTTTTACTGTGTAAAAGCTGCAGATGAGAACACACTTAAATACAACAAGCCATGCAGTAATGCAGTGTTGAAGGGCTTTCATCCCCCATGACCCTGCTCAAGATTCCATCAGGCTGTGTTGTCACAGTTCTCAGTTCTATATGCATTGGCTTTTGTCTTCATGACCTACCAGTCTGATTTCTTTCTTAATTATATATGACACTAACCTCATTAACATTCCAAGCATACAATACTTTTAAAAATGAACATGTCTTCTGGTAAAAAAAAAAAAAAATATGTTGTGTGGTCTGCCTTTAATCTGATATTTACCGTCAAACCTTGCTACATTGAGTTTATAAATTTGTGGAAAAGTTTATTAAAAAGCATGCGTAGTTGTTGATGGTTAAAGTTTAGTATTGATTTATCTTTTAGTTAAGCAGAGGTTATTCCTAAACCAGCTGTATACCCAAATCACCACACAGAGACTAGGATTTTCTTAATTAACCTAGAGCACAATGCTGGGCAATAATTACTCCATCCTAAACCCCCAAGCCTGTATAGTTTCCTCCCATTCAGATTTCCCACATTATACTTACTTTTAGTCATATGTTCATCTCTCCTCATGGTTCCAAGTCCTCTCCTGCCAGCCTCTCCTCTCTACTCCTCCCACTCGCTTCCTTTCCCCTCCCCTCCAGACCAGGATGTCCCACCCTCTTCTCTCCATTGCTCAGGACTGGCTGGTTGTTTTATTGACAATACAGAGAACAAATGATGGCATGTTTATACAAACTTAAGACAGGCACTGCTTAGAATAAGCATAACAATGCAATGTCTGGATTGAAACCAGATACTGAGGTAGAGAAATAAGCATTTGAATGAACAAGGGTAAATTGTATACATTCCACAAGAACATTATACCAACACATAGTGCCAGGCATGGTAGTATTTTACTGTAAGTCTAGTATTTAGGAGGCTGAAGCAGAAAGATCTCCAGTTTATGATCAGCATAGAGTGTATAGCAAAGCCTTGTTTCAGAATCACTGACCCCACCCCAAATATATATATTTGTAACAGAGTACCTGAAAATAGTAATGAGATACTGGAATAATAGTAGGCTCTTGAAAATCTGTAAGAAAGACTATAGAACATTAAAAGGCAGAAAAAAAATTGCGGCCAATGAAATAGTTCATTGGGGAAAGGATTTAGCCCCAGGCCTGACAACCTGAGTTTGATCCCCAGGACCCTCAGGTGGAACTTGGTCTTGTAGGCTCTGACCACCACATGGTCACCAAAGCACACGAGCTGCCCCCATAAATAAATGAATTACAATAAAATATTTTTGAAAATGAAAATTTTTTAGCAATTCCATAAAAAGGAGTGATGCCGTTGCTAGGCAGCTATAATTGCAGAGTGTATGTTACAGGTCAGTTATTCCACTATTGAGTCTGTGCTGCAGAAAAATTCTAGAGAGTGCAGTGGTTCTTCCCAGAACTATGGGGAGTGGGTAGGGAAATAAGACATGTAAACCAGGATATGAACTAGCACTGAGAAAGCCTTACTATGACTTTAAGGAGCCAACTCAAACTGTAATTAGTGAAGACATTAATATATATATTGGTGTGACCTTTTAGAGACTGTTCATAGATAATTGAAAATGTCTATAGTAAAAAAAATAGATAAATCAATTGTGATATACTCTTTGTCATTATTTTGAAACAAGATCTCACCCAAGTCTTCTAGGCTGGCCTTAAACCTACCATCCTCCTGCCTCCAAGTAGCTGGGATTATGTGGTATCAAGTCCATGTGCTATACTTATATAATGGAATACAAATTGAAAAGCATTCATGAAGAAGGCAAATGAGGCATGATATTTATGGTAGCACTAACTAATTTAAGTTCTGAAACATGAGGTAATACTATGTTTTAAGAAAACATACCTTTAGAGTTATCAAGAAAATGCCTGAGAATAAAAACGTACAATTCAGAGTACTGATTTCCTGCTTGGGCATCTAGGAGAAAGGGGTATCCCTGTCTAAACAAACAGTGAGGTAGTTTACAATAGACACTGGGTTGATATTAGTTTACATGAAATGGGATCTGAAGTTACTTATTGACTTCTCATGGCGAGCACAGGTCACATGGCTGGCCAGGAAGAACCCGTTTTAGACCACATGAGTATATTCAGGTGCACAGTGGGTTGTAACCACAGCTGGAGCATTTTGCTTTCAGATATAGATGGAGGTTTTTAGGGTTGAGTGGTTTAGACCAGATTGAAAGTATGTCATAACCACATTGGGGTAGGATAATTAACGCAAAGGTTATAGTGGTCTGAGTTGCTGCTTTAGTCACTTGGAAGACATGAGTATTGGTTGAGGTACTTGAACTTTTTTTTCCATTATTTGCACTGGAGAGCCTTCCTGTTGGGGTATGAGCATGGTATTTCTTCATTTACCCCGTTAGCATAGTAGCTAACCTGGCTTTATGAGCATCCAGAAATTAACATATCCCACCAGTGAGAATGCTGAGCAGTTCTAATCCGCTTTAGTAACCTCCAAGCTGCTGACCAAATGACTTGTCCTTTGAGGACATTGATTTTCTCATTTGCCACAGTTTTGTGAATTTGAACTTTGTATATTGAAGGGAATGTGTTACACCTGTGCTGACTGGAGCAGCCACTGCACATAACACTACAGAGAGCGCTTGAAGTGGGACTGAGAAACTGGATTTTGGTGGTAATTACTCTAACGAATTTACTGCAAAGATAGCTCAGCAAAGTGCTTGTCTTGCAAGAATGAGGTCTTGGGTTCAAGCCTCGGAACCCACAAAAACAGCTGGTGTGGTGACAGGCGCTTACAGTCTCGGTGCTAGGCAGGTGGAAGTGGCTGGGTCCCTGGGACTCCCCGCCCAGCTAGCCTCACTAACCCACCTAGGAATTCCAAGCTAGTGAGAGGCCCTGCTGGGAGGGGGAGGGGCAGCACTTGAGGAATGACCTCCAAGGCTGTATCTGACTGGCTTCTACATGTGTGCATACATACATAAACATGCATGTACATACACAAACATGCATGTACATACACAAACATACACAAACCCAAAGAAAGAGGTTAATTGTATATACCCTATATATAATTTCCAGTAAGATCATGAATACTCAACAGATGATATCTTTTTCTGTGTATTATATGTATTACAGAGCAGGGTAGAATTAAAGGTTCCATTATTACATTTAAATGTGAAATTTTTAAATGTTATGCAATGTTGTTAAGAATTAAAAATTAATGCTACTTTTATTGATAGGTAACCTGAATAGGTCTGTATGTAACTCTTTTGTAAAGGAAATATTTTTCTAACCATTAATTGATTTTGAATATTAATGAAATGATAGTTGTTTAAGGGAAAAGTTACCCTTTTTAAAATGGAAAGTAATTCATAGCATAATAATAATATAGGATAATTGAAGTATAATTAATGTCTTTCTTTTACTGTATTTGTCAGGTGTGATCGTTAAAAATACTGATTTTTTTTTTTTTCCTCCAAAGACACTGAAGTCCAGTGTCTTTGGCTTTATGATTGTTCGGATATATAATTATACACAGGATTTACCTTTTCTAATTTTGCTCTTTTCTAGCTGCATAGATGAATGGTTTGAAGTAAATAGATCTTGTCCAGAGCACCCTTCAGATTAAGCGCATCAGATTCCTGTGTTATGGGTAATTGTCCCCCCTCCTTTTTAAATTGATTTGTAAACTGTTATTTTTGGATTACTATTTTCATCTTCAGCTTTTTCTACTTAACTACATTTCTGAGTGCATGCGTGTGTCTGTTTTCTAGGTATTTTGTAAGACTGCTATATAAAAACACACATTTAAAGATATACTAAGGAGGCTAAGAGTCTTGATCAGTGTTAGAATGCGCATTTAACCGTCACAGCCCTGGGCTTAATTCCCAGCACCAAAAACCACTCCCCGCAAAAAATACATTAGAAGTGACTGTTGTTGACTCTTGAATAGAGGTAGGTATTGAGTAACTAGAATACTCTTGGTACTTTAAAACACATTTGTTTGTTTAATTAAAGCTTAATACCGGGAGGAAACACACAAACAATGAAGTACACATTATGACCACATTTTCCAGGAAGAATCCTTTAAGGTTCAGAGTAGTTAGGGCCCATGGTTTCAAAAAGCACGTTGTACCACACTCATCAAAATACATGGCATATGCATAATCTGAATCAAGTGGTTAAGGAAGATAGGCTAAGGAGAGGCCATGGAAGGATGAAGACTTGAGTTCTGAACCCATGTAAAAAAGCACTGGGCAGGTAGCACACACTGAAGCCTAATGTTGGGAAGGCAGAGGTGGACAGGTACTGGAGCTTATTGCCAGGTAGTCTAGCGTAGTTGGCAACCGCCAGGTTTAATGAGAGACGCTGTATCAAAAATAAGGTGGAAAGTGACTGAAGATGATCCAGGATGTCAACTTCTGGCTTGCACACATTCTCTCACACACAAAGATAAAAAGAAGCAAGGCACTCTTCAAGTCCCAGGTTGCAAAGACAGTTTAATCTACACACTTGAGCTTTGCCCCATGTGTTTTCCTAGAGACTATAATTGTGGTCATTGAAAAGTATTATGTGCTCATGGTATGAGCATAATTTTCTGTCTGTTACTCGGCAGATGTGAAAGTAACACTGAGTACTGTTGGCCCTGTTACACAGCTCAGCAGTTGACTTGGTGAGGACACAGTCCCAGGTGTTCTGACACTGATGACTAGTTGAGCCATTTTGAGATGATTAACTAGGTAGCATTTCCTTCAGAAAGTTGCAGCCTGTGACTAGGCACTCTTCTTCCCATCCTTAATATATTGTGAAATGTTTGTATCTCTAATAAGCCAATATATTATAGTACCAAACGGAGAACAGTTTTGTTCTGCTGACTTAGTTTATTTGAAAAGTGCTTAGTGAATTAAAGATGAACCCATGAGTATCATTGTTCGTTCCCGTAAGTTAAAGAAGGTATCATTTAGCTTTGAAAAATAAGGTTAATTTAACTGCTATTTTAAGTATGGAGCCTTTAGCTGATTTTGGAATGCTTCAGAAGACTGAGAAGACTCAGTGTAAGAGCGCTAGAGCCAACAGTAGAGTTGCCAAACAGCTGTGATTAGAGGTTGGAAATGTTCTGAGGTCTTGTTCTCTGCCATCCTCACACTTCCTGTTATTTTGATAATTTCGTGGTCTTTACGCTAGCAAGGTGCTCAGTGTGTGTACTGGCTAGTTTTTTTGTCAACTTGACACAAGCTAGAGAAGAGGGAACCTCAACTGAAAAAAAATGCTTTCAGAAGATCAGTCTGTACACAAGCCTGCAGGACATTCTCTTAATAGTGATTGATGTGAGAGGGTCCAGCTCACTATAGTGGTGCCAGCCCTCTGCTGGTAGTCCTGGGTCTATAGGAAGGCAGGCTGAGCAAGCCAGTAAGCTGCACCCCTCTGTGGCCTCTGCCATATCAGCTCCTCCTTCTAGGTTCCTGTCATGTTTGAGTTCTTGTTCTGAATTCCTTTGATGAACAGTGCTGTGGAAGGGTAAGCCAAATAAACTATTTCTTCCCCCAAATTGCTTTTGGTCATGGTGCTTTGTCACAGTAATGATAATCCAAACTAAGACGATGGTAAAAGTGCCAGTTGCCAAGCCTGATACCAGGGACCTGCATAGTAGGAGAGAACCACGTCCCCCATGTTCTCTGACCTCTACACCTGCCCTGCCTCCACAGACAATAGATAGACGTTATTGTTAGTAGCTCTTGCTCCTTAGCTTAGAAGTCTTAGGCTTTTGGAGGTGATGCATTCAGGAAATTTTGTTGCAGTATTGATGAGGATAATTTAAGGTTAACAGATTCAAAAGTGAGAACTACAGCTGGTTTACATGTGAAAGCAGAGGCACGGGGAGGCTGGGGCACTGAAAGACCACCATCTGGGAACTTGGTAGGACCCTATGTACAAATGATATAGTAAGATTTCTTTTGGTGCAGAGCAGTGGGATGTGATGTTGTATTGGGCCACATTTACGTCTGTGTTTTTATTTAACTATTAGAAAGGTGGAGGTTTTATTGTTTCTTGATGTTGGAAATCAAACCATGATCTTGTGCATGCCAGCAGTTATACTGAGGTACATCTGCAGCCCTGATAAGCCCTGTTGTTGTCTCAAAGCTTGAACCTAAAGTTTTATGTGTGCTGGCCAGGTGGCTTTAAGCTACTGAGATGAGTTCCCAACCTGAAAAATGCTTTCTGGATGAGGGGATGCTTTAAAGTGCTGGTAAGTGTTGCCCTGTGTCTGGATCAGCACAGTGATGAAAAAAAATCCTGAAGCATTTTAAGAGAAATGCCAAAAACCAGTGCTAATAAAATGAAAGTTTTACTGGGCATGGTAACAGAAATTCCAGGTCAACCTGAGCTACATTAAAATGGTGGTATTTTTAATTTATTGTTTAACATACCAAAGCATATCCCAAAATCTTTAACCTGTAGGTAAATATGCTTCTAGTATGTGCTAGTATCAGTCAGACTGATGATGAACAGAATCACAGCTCTGCACATTGCACAGTCCTAGACCAAAGTGCCAGAAGACGGGATCTTAGATGATCATTCCTCTGGCGTCCTTGGATGGCAGAAGAGTGGCCAATGTACCTGAAAGGCTCTGATATGCTCTGTTGAAGATGAGCAAACACTAAGACCAGAGCAGACCTAAGCTTTTTTTTCATGGTCTCATCTCTAGAGTTTTTTTCATTGATGTCACAGTGAGCTTATGGAATTTTGGAACACAGCCCATCTCAAGAGTTACCAGCATATCTCTGTTAACCTCGGACAACATCTATTTTTTTTTTTTAAACATCTTAGTGTTTCCTTCTTAGGGGTCTTTCTGTACATGTACCTGAGATTTGAAATGAACTTACATGAGATAAGTTGATCTTTATACTTAGCTGTCTGCAGAAATTCAAACCAATGGAGTCTGGTTCCAAAAACTTGAAGGATTTTTTTTTTTTTTTAATAGCAAGGCCCCACATTGTATCTACAGTATAAGAATTTAATTACCAACTCTATAAAAAAAGAGACATGAATATGTATCTTCTTGATTAAATATGAAGTTGCTTACTGTTTGTAATTTGGGGAGATGATTTTAAGTTTGAGAGGGTGTGTGTGCCTGTGTGTACTCAGTTCTCAGCATTTATTGTGGAAAAGGAATGACTTAAGTTTTGCTTTTTTTTTTTTAAGACTATGTTAAGCTTTAACTGATTATTTTGTTTCTTGATTTATTCTACAAAGGAATATATTTCTGAAGTGGTAAAAAGGGGAGGTATGAAAGGCTGCAGTAATAAAAGCGCACTGTTCATGAGGAAGTGGGTATTGAATTTCTATTTGCATTACTATTATTGACCATGACTTAGAATAATTTGTTTTTATGCAGGTTTTCTTGTCTTTTCAAGATGCTTGAGAAATCTAGAAGATTTGAAGATCGAACTCTGGAAAAAATGAGAACTGCAGGCTTATTCAGCCAGGATCTGAGTTCTGTGACACATGGTTGTCCAGAAAGGGACAAGAAGCACAGAACTCAGTGTACCAAACTTGCATATAAGGGACACACAGGGATTTTGAAAATGCTGCACATCCTGGACTAGTCACTGCATAGATGACACTGATAAACATTTTGTATTCAGACGCCAAAGTTAACTAATTGCAAAGTTGATTTACTTTTTATTAAGTTCTGTAGAGCTGCTGTTTTAATGTATTTGGGTTTTTTTGGTGTGTGTGTGTTTTTTTTTTAAGTTTGGGGAGTTTTCATTTTCCCCAACATAATGTTTCTACATTTACCTATTCTTACCTTGAAAACCACACAATTTAGTTCTTACAAACTCTTCAGTGTGAAACCAAGAAATGTAATCAAAGCAGTGTAATATTCTGTGAATGGAGAGTATAATCTCAAGTTCTTCCATTCCCCCCCCCCCCCCGGGCCATGTATGAAAAATAGGTTTCTGGGTAGGAGAGCTAAAATATGTTAGTAGTTTGAATTAAAGGTTTAATATTATAAAAATGCCATCCAAAGAGTAAATCAAGTTACATAATTACATTTGGTTAATTAAATGTCGAACAGTCTACTGAACTGCAGTTTCTGAAATACATTGTTTCTTCTGAAATAAAACTGTGCAATAGCTTGTTAGCAGTGACCATCTTGCAGCTATGCAACTTTGAAAAGTCCAGATTTGCAGGTCTCAGTGCTGGGGCCGAAGTGACTCTGTCCTAACAGGTATTTTGTTCCTTTCATGTAATTACTTCATTGTGCTTTGCATTTCCAGGCAGTTTTCCCATGTTTGGGTAAAATGTTTAGCAAGTTGTAAACTTAATACCTTATGAAAAGGGTGAAATAAACACTTCTGCAGTGGGACTTGGAGTAATTTGAGGGACATTTTATATACTTTTAAAAATCAGAATTTAATTGGGATGCCAGATTTCTAGCAACTTGTATCTTTAGTTTTCCAGATAATCTGGAAGTTAGCATTTGATAAATGATTTTTTAAGCAAATATAAAAATTTTGTTAATTTATAATTTATTAATGTGTTGTTACTGTAATTGAAAATGTTGTGGATACTTTTAAATTCAGTCTTTGTAGAAAGAACTGTAATAAGCAAAATTATGTGAATAAATACTCCCCCAAAATACATCTGATGGTTAAGAATACTGGAAGAGAACTGTCAGGGCTCCAACAGTGAATGTCTTCTTAAATAAGTATGAAAATACCAATAAGTAGATTTCACATTTGGTTTCCTAGGGAGGGTGTTGCTTCTCTGGTCTAGTCAGCTGCATAGTCCTGTGTCCTGAGCTGCTGCACTGAGGTGTTGAAGTGTGTGCTTCTCTGATGCTGCTACTCTCACACTCTGATTTGTTCCCTGGCCCTGTGGCCTCTGCTCCCTCCTGTACAGAAGGGCGGGTGCAGGAGCACTGCTGCTGTGGTGGGGTGGGCTGGGGGTTGTCCTGCGATGAAAAGAGCTTGCACTGCTTCCCTATGGTCGTAAGCTAGGTACTGCTTCCCTTCAGAGACTGCTGCGGATTACCTGTTCTGGTCCGTGGCCAGACAGCATGTAACAGTTTGCAGCACAGCTCTGTAGGGCTTCTTTTCAGCCAGTTGTAGGAAGTTCTCTTCCTTCAAGAGAAATATTTTTCCTTAATTTCTTTTCTGTTAATACACAATCTGAATCCACTTTTGTAAGCTTTTGTCTCCCCCCCCCCCTCAGTTTTTCTCCCAGGAAGAGCTCTTAGAATGTGAACAATCACTTTGCTTTCTACTGTTGGTGTGTTGCATGGTAAGAATTACTTCTGCTGTCTTCCCTTCTTGGAGAGCAGCTGTGGTAGCTAATGTGTAGACTCCACTGGACGGTGACCTGCTTTTTGCCAAGCTCAACTTCTTGGAGTCTCAGCCTAAGTTTGCCCTTTGCACACACTGTCCTCCAGCAGTCTTCACGGCCTCTGTGGGGATGGGCGCAGACTGTGCTTGTCTGGACAGGATTTACTGAAGCCTACTCAAACAGCTTGTTGGGGTTTTTGTTGTTGTTGTTTTGGTCAAATTTTATAAAGTTGGTGTTTTTACTTTAAATTCTGTCTGCAATAATTTCCTAAAAAGAATAATTAGAAGAAAAGAGAGGAGCGCAGATGTTCGATCAGTGATACTTTCTGTAGCACTGCTTATAATATTAGTCTGTATGCAGACATGAATAGCATCAGCCATAAAATGATAGACTATTCAGCTGAAACTACTGACAAATATTACGGAGGTGGACTAAAAATTGAAAGCCTCCGTTATCCAGCTGGTCATAACCTTCTAGAATCTTTGTAAATACTCTTCAAATAAGGTCACACATGTGTAGAGAATGAAATACATGCTTGGATTTCTCTAGTGCCACTCTGTCCATAGTAAATTTATTGCCAATTTTTAATTCTACTTTAATCTGTTTTTTTTAATTCCCTCTCTGCCAGTATATTTAAGAGAAGCACTATTCTCTTTATAAAATTATTCTCTTTCTTAGGCTCCTCTTTAGAGAAACAGATGTAATGTATTTCCAACCTAGTTATAAATCAGACTGTAAGATTCTTATATAAGCAGTGGTTTTACCTGACTTTTGTGTATGTGATAGCAGAAACCACAGTGGAAAAGTCCTATTGACTGTTGGAGAATATAGGTTTGGGCTTTCCAGTACAAGTCTTCTGTATCTTAAATGTTACATGATTATTTCAGTTTCCATTTAGATACTAGAATGCAGCCCAGAGCAACCAACGACCATCCTTAGCATATCTGCAGTGTGCACAGCAAAGTTTTTTTTTTTCCCCCACTTCAGTGAGTTGCCAGAAATGGTGGACTCCTTTCCAGAGCACATTCTTCTACACTGTGTTTTTAAGTCTGGGTATGGTGAGGTTTCAGAGTACTCATTTCCCACCGGACATGGTGACTCATACCAACGCTCAGGAAACTGAAGCAGGAGGATTGCCACAGGTCCAGGCTAGCCTAGGCTACAAAGTGAGTTCTAGGCTAGACTATCTTAAAAAAAAAAAAGAATACTTTTAATATGTTACAGCAAGACATAGGCATATTCCTTTTAGTGAAAATGATTATGGATTCAGTGTAAATAGTACCTGCTTTTCTGTATTGACTTGAGTGAAGTAAGGGGATTTTCCCAACAGTAAGCTAAAGGTGAACAAAGTGTGGAACTTAAAATTCAGGGATGGTTGCGTTCATTTGCCACTGACGACAGCCTCGCTGTGTGTTAACCATGTGATCCAGACAACCTTCCTCTTCACAGAGGAGGTTCCCCTCTAAACCAGATCATCAGGAACATAGAGTGACTTAGAGGCAAGTGGTGCTGTTGTCACAAGCGCCATTTGCTGGTTGTGGGGCTCTGGTGCATTCAGCCATTTTTCTGTGGGTTTGGGGTAAAGGAATATTGAGAAATAAAACATGAAATGCCCCTTTGTTACTCACTATACAGATATTTTAACTTGACTTTAGAAATTGTAGCATGTCAGTACTTTGAAGTCCATTCTCCTATTTTTTTCTAAAGTGTGTAACTTGTAATATTTTTGTAGCCATGTGATACAGCTTAATTACCTTACCTGTTTCACTCTCTGCTCTTTCTCCTTTCCACATCTCCTCTGAGTCTGAGTGGCTGCTTCTTGGTGTTCTGATAGTGATTCACATTCTGAAATCATCCACAAAACATTTCTGGTGATAATACTTTATAGTATTATCTGGTGCCCAACTAATACTTTATGCCGTGTTCTGTAAATGCTGTGCTTAAGCTAGGAAACAGACTTTTTTTTTTTAAAATCAGAGTTCTGTCTTGGATGGAAAATTCCTGATATTCTAAGTCTGTTGACTTTCTGTGGGAAAAAAAAAAACTACCTTGAACACCAGAAATCTTACTAGTAGTTTCAGTTTAACATGCACTGTCACCGTCCTCACAGGATATTCAAACTATTCACAAGTTTTGACCAGTGGCTGATAATAAGGAAGATTTTTTTTTCTGGTCTTTTTGTTTATAGAAAAGCAAAGAACAGTGTGGCATAATTAATTAAAAAATGTGATACTGTAGCATTTATTAATAATGTATGTGTTTCTTAGCTCTGCCCCTGGGCCATAAGGATCTCAAGATTGGACATGAGAAGTAACAGTTCTCTTAGGACTGATTGCCCATGCCTGCCATTTCTGATGTTGGAGTTGACATGTACTGACTGATTGCCCATGCCTGCCATTTCTGATGTTGGAGTTGACATGTACTGATGAAACTGAACAACTACACCTGTGTTTGTTAGCAGTAACTGTGGTACCAGAAATGTTTCCTCTGTTAGCCAAGCTTGTGCATATATGATATCCCAGCACCCGAGATGTTGAGGCAGAGCAGAAGATCACAAGTTTGAAGCCAGCCTGGGCTACACCGTGAGTTTGAGACCAGTCTGAACTACAAAGTGAGAGCTTGTCTCAAAGTTTGACTGAGGTCATGTTAGTGTTTGGGTATATATAGTATGGTTAAGACATTCTGGTCTAGGAAGAAACAACATGAACACTGGACTTGATAGCACTGATTAACAGTTTGTTGCATTTCTTTGCAGATGACTTGTTATGTGGATTTCTTTGCTTGAAAATCACAATATTTACCTCTTGATTTATTTGTGGTTTCCACAACTCTTCTATAATACCTCTCAGTTTCCTCTATTAGAAAGTATTTTGTTCTTGTTAAACAAGGCCCTGAAGGCATTGATCATAAGAAATAAGAGAAAATGTATTAGGAACAACCTGTATTAGTATGTTCTAAACAGAAACCGAACAATTCATTGCTATTTTAATAAATAAAATTTCCAAATGATCTCATTAAATTCTCCTGTTCTTTAGAAGTAGAAAATAAGAGTGCTCTCAAGGGAAGTTGTCATATCTCCTACCTTATGTCTTTTAGTGGACAGTGTATTACAATAAAACAAATATTTGGATAATGAAAAGTTGCCATGCTACAATTGATATTGACCTCTTTATTTTTTTATACCCATGATGACAAAGATAGATATAAAATTGTGAAAATTTCTTAATAGCTTATGGTAATGGACAACGGGGTTTTGTATTTCTTTGACTGTAAGTGAAGATATACTCTGAAATACCTGATGTAAACCTGCTAGTGTTATCATTGAAATATAGCTGGAGCACTAAGCGTTGGGAAGGATGTTGAACGGTTACGCACTCACACTTTCTGGCTTCATTTGTTTCACAACTTGCCTTTACTTTTGGAAGCAGTTTTCAAGATGTAAGCATGATTGGGTTCTGTAGTATGATTAAGAAGCTAGGCTTTTGGGATAGGTCTCCTCTCTCTGGCCCTGGGTTTTATTCTCTGTGCCTTGTCTTAGTCTTGTATTAAGCAAGAAGGTATGTATATGCAAAGCCAGATAATGTGGTATACATAAATGTTGATATGAAAAACAATATTTGTGCCCATTTATATGATTTTTATTAATATGTTTACCATAAAGTGTATTGATAACATCTGAGCTCTTAACTGATGTGTTTAAGGAACCCATGGAATAACAGAGCATCGTAGGTTCTGACTTCCATCCTTACATTTAGGGGAAGTGCTGTTTGAGCACTTTTACATTACGCAGCATTTGATTCCATGCTGTATTGGAACCAAGAACACCGTAATGAAAGACAGCTGTCTTCTGGGAACCTAATTTTTAATGAGCAAAGCTACTAAGCAACCGTTGCACACCCAGAGTAATCTGCTGTAGCAGGCATTCTATTCTACCTGGCGTAGACGCGGAAGAGATGAGAGCACAATCAGGTCTTTATGAGTAGGTGATTCATAGCTATAGAGAAAGTGGGCAAAGGGATTTGTACAGTAGACAAAGTGAGAAAGCTTCAGTGTCTAGAGAGGCAAGCAAGCAACAGATCCATGCAGTGTGTGTATGTCTGTGATTAGAGGACTTTAAGCAAGAGAGACAATCACGATGACATTTCCAAGTGGGGAGGATGAGATGAGGCAGAAAGGCCTATTAAGAAATCTATGCTAACTCAAGAGAAGGTGAGGGCAGGGGGACCTGGAAACATAGGAGGGAAAGTGGATTCATTTCAGCAGCCATCTTTATAGAAAGGGAAGGAGGGACCAGGACACCTGATTATACTTGTTATCTATCTTCAAAGGTTGGTTCTACCTGGGAAGGTCTGATTATACCTGGAGTATCCTAAAGAGCCAGAAATAAGGCACTTTGTTTGAAAGTGAGTTGAATGGGGTCAGGGGAGGTGCAGACAGGACAGAATAGAATGTTGAGAACAAAGCCAGACATGAATAAGGGGCAATATTGCTTCAGGGTCACAGTTCCTTAGGGCTGCAGACACTGTCAGCACTAACTGCTAGTTGGAGAGTGAGGGCCACGGAATTACTTTAACTCTCGAGCTTGGCTGAATTGGACCTCTCTTGAAGCCTCATTGTCTTAGCTCCTGTTGCTTTGGCCCTTGCTTAATAAGTGCCAACATGCACCCTGAAACCTTCTTCAGGGATTTGTCTTGGGTTCATTTCCCATACTCTTTCCATTGTGCCTGACTTCAAATCTTGACAACAAAAAATTAAAGGTACTACTGGACTTGGGTCCTCATACACATACTTGGGAGCCTGCTGTTCTGATGATGATTGCTTTTAAAGATGGGTTGGGTTCTGCTCTGTAGAAGGACCAGAAGGTTGCTGCTTCGTGATCTTTGCTGTTGAGCAAAGGGCATGAAGGACTGATGAAAGCATTTTTGGAGGAGCAGCAACCTCAGGGTAGTTGCATGAGTCAAGGAGGGGCCACTGATGATCTGGTGTACAATGTCTCCATGACAACACAACAGCAGGCTTCTCCAGAGTGACTTGGGTTCTTTTCACAGGACAGGAGGCATCGCATCGCAGACCTGTGAAAGCAGTAGAAATTTAACACAAGTCCCTAAGTTCATACAGTCCACATAAAATGCTTTAAAATTTTTTCTCAGTACATAATGTTACAATTAAAATTCTGTCAAATAGTGCTTCAGTAATGTCTGTGAGCTCCTAAATTCACTATTTTATGAGATTCAAATAGAATGCAGCCAAAAAAAATACCTTCCCAAGAAAGTAAATTTGAGTTTTTACTATTTCTGATTTATTTGGTCCTTTAGGAGCTGAGTCACCAGGATATTAACTGAACAATGGCTGTGTAGTGTTGGTCATAGTGTAAAACCACTTCAGGAAAATAGCAGAGAACTGCATATCGTGAGCCTTTGGTAATTCATTAATGCTGTGGCACACACTTTCAATCTCAGCACTCAGGGGCCAGAGGCAGATCTCTGAGTTTAAGACGAGCCTAGTCTACAAAGCCAGGGATACGTAGTGAAACTCGCCTGCCACCGCCCCCCTTCCACACCTAAAATAGTCTTAATGCTAAGGCTACTCAACACCCAGACCAAAGGTGGCAAATGGCATATGGTTCATCTGTTAGAACATAAAGGCTACAGACCATCCTAGACTGTTCAAATATGCAGATCCAGCTAATCAATTTGACCCAAAGCTTTTTCTCATCTTTGGAATCTCTTGGAAACTACCCCTGCTTTCAGTGCTCAGCAGTTGAATGACGAGCAGCTGCTGTCCTGAAAAGCACAGGTTCAGATAACTTTACCTCAGGGATCTTTTCTGTTTGATCCTTTTGTGCCTGGAGATTTCTGAAGGCTTACGAAGACTCCGAATTCATTTGGAGTGGTTTTGGGTCAACATCTGCACATGAGCAGCTCTTGCCCTGTGTTGGGACTAGATGGAAACTCAAGTTTTTCAGCAAAAGGAATTGGAAAAACCTTTGCAAAATTAGGGTCTTCGTGTGCGTTCTCTGGCCTTAATTGTGGCTGTAGCTTTTGGTGATGATATGCAGGCTTTGATTAGCTGGTCTCCTGCACAGGAGCTGAATGGTCTGTGAGGTCTGATCAACTGTAGTTGTTTGTGAGCCCCTTTTAGATACATCACCTGTCTCAAGTTCCACCTGGGTATTTTCCTGATCATCTAGCTGTAGTTGACTTTCAACCTTGTTCATGCTTGGTGTTGCTAAAGCTTATCCGCAAAAACACATGTAAATGCAAAGCAGACTTAAGGTCTTGCGTGGGAGCATTCCAGAGGTGATGAGGTGTAACCACTGTCCAGCTTGTCTGGGGGTCTTGTGCTCCAGTGTCATGATGAATGGAGCTGTGTCAAGTTGAATTCTTTCATATGATTTTTGATTGCTGTGAGTCAGTATTCTCAGTATTTGATAAAGCATTAGATTAACTCAAGAGGCATGGGAAATGCAGAGGAAGCTCTTTAAACCTGTCAAGGGCTCAACTAAGAGTCCTGATGGACTCTTAGCTAATCATAGCAGTGTGGTCTGTTGGGTATCGATCCATACTTGGGAATGGGTCCAAGAGACCTCAGACCTGTACAGCCAGGCTTTTCACATCTCCTCTGCTGCTCTTCCTGTTTGGACAAACTTCTCTCATTGAGTGAGGAGAAAACTGCTCTTGGTGATTTTACAAATTCTTACCATCTTTGAGGACTAAACTGTGATTCGCCAGGGCTCCAACCTTGTTTTTGCACAGCCAAGTTTAGTAGAATCCTCAGAGCCTTTGTCTCCTTCACATTTAATAAACTCAGCTTTGACCCTCAGGACTGAACAGTGGCATCTGTTCCTTTGTCATTCGGGACTCCAGTGGCTGTTCCCAAAAGCAACCAGAACACAACAGTTAACAGGAATGAGGACCAGGAGTCAAAACCAGTATCCATAGCTGACTCAATAGCACACACCTATAATCCCAGCACTTCAGAGTGGAGGCAGGAGGATCAGTAGTTTAATGTAATCAATCTTTTCTATAAACCCATAGGCCAGTTTGGGCTACACAAGACCCTTTGTCCCCAAAAGTTTCATTGCAGCATGACAGCATTGCTGCCCCAGTTTACCTCATTCACAGATAATCCTCCAGTGATCATCCTGCGGAGGAGTGTGTGAAGCTGTGTTGATAGGAGACAGATACTGTGTTAACAAAAAGATTGGGAATAATACAACAAGCATAAGAATAAACTGGGCATAGTGGCACATGCTTATAATTCCAACACTCAAATCTAAGACAGAGTGGTTACTGTGAGTTTGAGGTTAGCCTGGCCTCCATACTAAATGCCAGGCCAACTGAAGACATGACAGGACTGTCTCAGAAAGCAACAGAGGTCTGCAACACTTATTGAATAGCCATGTGCCCTCAGGTCTTGGAGAGGTTGAGGGAGGAGGATTGTTGCACAGGACAGTGGCCTCACATTCTACTGAACTGATAGGCTAGTGGAAACCAGTACAAGCACCGCGGATACAGGTGCAGGAAAGCCAAGCAGGCTTGTTGGTTCTGCTTCCTCAGCAAGAGCAATGGTGTGTCCTAATCAAGCTATTTCTTTTTCAGAACAGCGTTGCTGAGTTAACATTTGCGTATAACAGAAACACCCATGGCAAACAGCACCTAAGGAATTGGACAGAAATGGCACCTGTGTGGCTTATCTCCACAACCAAAACAGAAATTTCCATCATTCCTCCTAGTCATCTCAGGTCCCTTGAGTTGGTTTCCATCCATCCACCATTAGCCCTAAGCCACTGCTGTCTGCTTTTTTTTTTTGTTGTTGTATATTATATGAAATCAGTTAGGATAGCTTTTCTTTGTGTGTGATTTCACTCAGCATGATTCTATGGAAAATATCCATATTGCTTCTTGAGTCAGTTTTCTTCAGAGTAGTGTTCTGTTACATGAAGATGCTGTTATCCTATTGGTGTGAACCTCAGCTGTTTTTAGTTTGGGATAGTATTAATAAAATGATTGTGGACATTTATATATACAATGTGTGTGAATATATAACTTCATTTCAATAAATACTGGTGGTAAAAATTGCAGCGTTGTGTTGTCATGCTGCCAAATTAGAGCAAAGTGACTACTGTGTTTCATGTCCCACCAACACCACACCTCATTAATACACTCCGGCATTCAAGCTGTGGAGGCAGGAAGATCAGGAGTTCAGGGGCAGCCTCAGATACATACAAGATTTGAGGCCTGTACTTCATGAGATCTTTTCTCAAAACAAAACCAACCAAACAAAAGCTTTAATTATCAGTCATTCCCCATCCAGAGGACCCTCTCACCATCATGGTCTCTGTAGATCTGCCATTCTGATTAGCCCCTGTCAGTGGACTCCAATATGGTCTTATATTTGACATCTTACACCTTAACCATCGTGCGTATTTAGTGCATGCTAGTTATTTTAATGTTTGTTTATGCCACAGTTTATCTGTGCACTAGTTGGCAGGAATTTTTATTGTCTGCTTCCGTGGATGGTGTTTTTGAAGACTACTGCTTTGAACATCTGTGTGTGGACATTGAGGTTCCAGCAGGTACTGAAGAGAAGAGTTTATGGGTCAAGAGCACAGAG